TTTTTTTTGTGAACAAGTGCTCCAGTCTATTCGTGGGGAGCAGCACGTGCTGGGAACCGGGCCCAGCGTCCCATATTGAATTATACAGATCATTGAGAACATTTGAGGTCGTTTGAGGTCATTTGAGATACCGGGGCCATTAACCGCCTTCGGCTGAGAACAATCTGTCAACACGATGAGATTCAGAAACATGGGGAGGATCCTGAGTATCTAATGACCAATTAGGGAATTACTCATGCAATAGCCTGCCACAGAGGTCCTACGAATGCTCACTACCCTCAGGTTCCCTGACAAACCCTTCTAAGACTTCCCAACACCGTCTTACTCCCTGCTGAGCTCTTCCAGGCCTCATGCCCCCACCCTGCTGGGTTACAGGGCAACACAACTCGCCCCATTTCCGACCAGCGTCATCCCAGCAGCAACCCTTGGTCGTCCCTTGGGATGCCCACCCCAAAGCATCCCCAGATCTCCCTACCAGGCCTCACGCTCCTGCATCAGCAGGTTACAGGGCAACACCCCAGCACCGGCCGGCATCGTTCTGGCATCAAACAGCCACAGATCACTGAGTATAACAGCATCGAAACCGCCTAAGATGGATTGCTAAGAAACCCTAAAGTCCTAAGACATTCATAAGAACAACCGACTTTTTTTTTTTTCATTCAGACTCTACCAAGTCAATAGAATATGTGTGTCAAAAAGCCATCACAAATCAGATAGGTGAAACCTATTCAATCCACCTACGACCACCACCATCATGGCTAATTTCAGCACGAACCGAAGCTCTTCCAGGCCTCATGCTCCCATCAGGTTAGGTTACAGAGTTGCACCACCTTGCTCCAGCACTGGCCAGCATTGCTCCAGTTACGACCTCCGATGACCACTGGGACTGCCCCCGCAAACAGCCCCCCAGAGCTCTCTACCAGGCCTCATGCTCCCACTAAGCTAGGTCACAGAGTAATGCCACCTGGCTCTGGCTCCAGCCAGCGTTGCTCCAGCGTCGGTCTTCGAGGGCCACCGACTTTTCAACCACCTCTCATAGGATCACAGATGGCTTGCCAGATAACACCTATTCCTACAACCTCCTCTAGAGGCAACCAAATGGAAAGCTATATTAAACTGGATGATAGATTTCTTTGAGAGAGATCGCCCCTCCCTCCCCCTACCCCTTCCCCCTCAGCCCTACACTGSCTCCGYCGAGGAGAGTCACCCACTCTCCCTCGGCCCCAATATAGGACCAATCCTCTCCCCCCCTTTCCCCAGGAGCACGCAGTTCCCACCTAAAGCATGCCCCCCCGCCCCTTGCCCATTTCCGCCTCCGCAGGGACTGATGTTGACCCACACACAGTCCCTGCCCCAGAATAAGGCAACCCCCTACTCCGCCCCTACCCTCTTTGAGACATTCACCCCCCACCTTGCGATGCCCCTGCAGGATAGAGCTCCCCCCACCCCCTTCCCACCGTTCAGCCCTCCGGGAACAATCCGATCCAGCCGACTACAGTTATTGATGACACACTTTCCAAATTTTGTTGGATTTTGTTTGATTTTGTTGATGACGATGGACAGCACCCTGAAGACGATGATAATGAGACTGATGGTGACAACCAACTCCCCTGCTGATGCAGAGAAACATCTAATGAAAACAAGCTGATGATGATGATGATAATGATGAGAATGAAAACGGAATGATGATGCTGATCATACCAAAGAGCAGCACCAACAGCCCCTACGATTACAAACTGATGATGATGATGATGACGATGATGATAATGCTAATACCGATGATGATGGTGATGTCGATAATGATGATGATGATGATGATGATGATGATGATGATGAAGATGATGATGATGTCGATGATATTGATGACGCACTGATGATGATGCTGATGGTGATGTCAGTAATGATGATGATGATGATGATGATGACGATGATGATGATGATGATGATGATGATGATGATGATGACGCACAGCGCCCTACGATGACTACAAGATGATGATGGTGTGATGACGAGCACCTTGGATGATAACCTAAAGATGATGATGATGATGATGATGATGATGATCAACGCCCTATGATGACGTCAAGCTTTGCCAACCGTGCCGTATGATGGAGAGATATTTGACGATGGTGATACAACAATGAGTGACGAGCAGCACCCCTGATGCACAGCTCCTTGATAATAGTGATGATATTAGCGCCGAACAGGAGTGAAGACATACGCCTTGATGATGATGACGAGCAGTACCCTGATGCTGATGATGGTGATGACGAGCAGCGCCCTGATGATAATGACAAACCATTACCGTGATGACGATGTCAAATCACGCCCTGTTAATGATGATGGTAACGAGCAGCACCCTAATGATGATGACACCAATGCTGGTGCTGGTGGTGATCAGCGAGAGTGCCGCAGATGACAGAGATGTATACAAAAACCGAAATCAACGCACTCCATATCGCCTCCAATCCTCCTCCCGCTCCACGTACGCACGCGCTCCTCCTTTCCGTCCGTGTCATACCAACCGCCTACCACAGCACTACGCAGACCAAGGAGCAAAAGCCATAAGAAGGCTGAACTTCTCAAGGAGACCCACCTCCTCTCGAAGGTAAGTTTCCCTTCACCCTGCTAACCTGTAACAGCACTGGATGAAGCGCAAAGCTGGAGATGGCACCGAAGTGCTTTCAAAAGGCAGGCAACACCGAGTCACTCTCCATCCTCCTGTCCTCCCGCTGTCCGATCTCTACTTCATCACTACCCCATCACCAAGGCGCCGTCACGCCAAAACTGCCGACGTCATACCAAGCTGGAATTTATCTACATATCTATAACAGTTTTACCATCCCAATTTACCATCCCAATTTACCCCTACATTGGATTTCCCATGGGATTTTAGTATGATTTTAACCCTGCCAATGTAATGCTCCCCATTGATCTGCTTCTTTGCATACGCTTAATCATCAACATCGCTCTTCTCACGACTCCAAATGCACTTTGAGACCGTACACACAGACTCTCTCTCTCTCTCTCTCTCTCTCTCTCTCTCTCTGTGGGGAAACTTTCAGTCCAGATGCGGCGATAATGACTCGGCATTCAATTAAACAAGACTGTAGTGTAGTACCACTGCTCATCTGGGCACAGCATGCTCCACTGCAAGTTGTTGCATACTCGTGAAACACAGTCATAAGTATGGCGCAGATTCCCAGAACCGACCAGATAATACAGAGTTAATACAAATGCAAGCGGAAGACATGAGATACCTTTGGACTGACTCGGACCTGACTCGGACTGCAATCGAACACTCTCACACATTCATCAGGGGTGTGAATGCCCTGGCCTCGAACATAGACGAAGGGCCAGGGACTGAGATCATACACGGACGAAGGTAGAGAGGAGAGAGACGAAGGAGGAGGAAAGGGAAGATGACGTCAACTCAATGTTTCCCAAGATAGTATCTTGAACTGTCAGAAGTGACAAAAATCCGAAATGTCGCGAATGCCAAGTCTCACAATATCTCAGATATCGATCTCACAATGTCAAGTACATCTTAAGGAAGATGAAATCAGATCCCAAGTAGCCCTCGACTCGTTGTCCCAATGTCACTGTCTCAGATGTCATCAGAATTCGTAACCATCTCCCATACTCAAAGTAGTCCTGTAGGAGAAGTAGAAGTATACTTAGACTTGAGAAGGTAGGAGGAGAGAGAGAGAGAGAGGAGAGAGGAGCGATGGAGGAGAAGAGGGAGAGAACGCGAAGCCTTCCTCCCTGATACCTGGTACTGTCGCTATGGCGCTGCAAGGGGCTGGGCCGGTAACCGGCGCTGCGCCCAAGTGCTGCGCTAAACCGCTCGCCGCTGGACTCTTCGCTCTCCTGCTCCGTGCTGTGCGGCAGCGCTGCGCTAAATGAGTTAACGCTGAAGCTGATGCGCTAATCCTGAAGACTGACCTCTAGCCTTACTAACCTCCCTACTGAGGCTGGTACCCAGCCTTTTCTAGTGCTGGGCCGGCCTCCTACCCGCTGGTACCTACCGGCCTGGACCGTTGATCTAGATCAACGGTCCAGTTTTTTTTTCCAAAACCAGGGCCTTAAGGTCCTGGCTCCTTCTATTCTGGGGAGCGTCAGTCCGGTTCCTAAGTCACAAGTACATTACATGGAGCAAGACTCACACACGAACCTCTGCTGTCCCTGTTCTCCTGTTCCCGTCTGACTCATCTCCCTGCCCTTATGTATGAATCATGCTCTGTCGTTTAGACCTCAATACTTTCGCCTGCAGTCACCTCTCCCGATCGCCCCACCCTTGGGCCCGGCGTGGCTTGGATCACTTTCGGCCTTTTGTGATGAAATCTTTCCTTGTAACCTCCGTTTCTGCTCTGCTGCAGACATGCTCCCCACTTAGTCTTGCCTTCCCCATGTTGCCCCTTTGTCTATACCTTCTGGGGCTTTTCAGAGTTGTGCATATTTGTTTGCGGCCAATGATGTGGGTATCTCTTCCAACTTTAACTGTTGTTGACTGCCTCTTTCTGGTGAATTGCGTCAAAACTCTCCAGCACGACCTGGGACTGACGCAAGTAGCCCTCATTGTCTTATTCCGGCTGTTGTTCTTCTCTCTCTGTCCTGATTTGTTTGGACTTCCACCGTCTGCATAGGGTCTCCGCCTGATCCGCTGTTCCGGTTTCTGTCTGCACTTTCTCTCTTGGGCTGGAGCCCCCCTTCAGTTATTCTGCTGCATTTCTCCTTCCATCTGTTCCATCGGGGGACTTTCCTATTGCATAGACCGCTGTTCCCGTCTGTCGACTGTGACTGATTTGGGATGTTAGTCCAGGGGAAAGCGTTGTGTAGTTGAACAGAGAAGGGAGCCGTGAGCAGGGAGCCCCGGAGTGAAATGAGTCCCGTCCAGTTATTCTGTCCATGGTTTACCTGTCATTAGACGATGATTCACCTCTTATGTCCCCCATTCGTTACGAAATGCTCATTTCCTTGGGCTCTTGTGGTCCATGGTTTTCCGTCTATTGTGCAGACAATAATTCGCCAGAAGAGGTTTGTGTGAGATCGGTCGCTGCGTCCTTCTAATTCCTTTTATTGGGGGATGTATGTTAAGATGAGCTGGTAAAGGTGGGAGTCAATTGCCATGAGGCTAAGGTAGCGTATGCTGGGGTGTGTTTAGTCGAGTCCCAGGGTGTGAAAAAACATTGGGTGGCCGAGTGCTAGGTAAGGCCTTTCTTATTGTTGGTCCCAGTTTGTGAAAAGTAGAGTGCCTCCCTCAATTTTTGCGATTCTGTTCTCCAAAAGCCATGTCAACGGTCCAGTTTTAAAACTGGTTGGCGCCTAAACTGTAGCAGCCTCTGAAATGCTGTTGGTGGGTCCTAGGCTGGACGGGTACCGGCCTTGTGGCCGTTTGGCCTGGGCCTGCCTGAACCGCCGTGGTCCAGGCCCATCTGGGCCTCATCTGAACCGTCGTCCCTTAGGCCTACCCTGCCTGTCTGGAACTGGGCCCTAACTGGGTCCCGTGTGGCTCAGAATGACACAAAGTCCAGCGGCCCATAACATCCCAAACACACGCATACACACACACACACACACACACACACACACACACACACACACACAATCAAACACATACTACCACACACACTTCTCTCTTTCTCAGTCCAGATGCAGTGATAATGACCCGGCGCTCAATTGGGGTGAATATGGTAGCGTAGTTATCCCCCCGCTCATCTGGCCGCAGCATACTCCAGTACACCTTCAGCAGCGCCTAACCTCCCACACACACACACACACACACTCTGTCACACACACACACAAAAAAAAGAAAAAAAAAGAAAAAAAAAAAAACTCACCTGATGTTTAGTCTCAAGGTCAAGGAGGTCAAAGTCTCCCGTCTTTCCCATCTGCATTGGAGGCATCATCTTCAGCGGCACTGGGATCCCTTTTGCATACTGACTTGCAAAGTGGATTATGACCGCCAGCATTCTCATGTCCCCCGCGTTGACTGGTGCAAAGCAGAATGTGAAACGGTCGCGGAGAGTAAGCCCTTGAACTCGGTCCAGCATTCCTGCTACCCTCTGTTTCCACACGACAGTACGCGAACACTGAACTTAGACACATTCTCAACCAAACACTGATGTGCCATTCCAATCTTTTCAAAAATTTGTAATGGATGTCCTGAAGGGCATTACCGTAATCTCAACCGAGAATCCAAAATCATATATATTATAATTTATATACCTATTACACCAACTACCGGCCATGGGCATTTTTCCACCCAGGTTCATAATGTACCTAGGAGAATTTCCCTGTCTTCATGGTCGCCCTCTGTCCAGGAGACATAAATGGTGGTGGAAAGGCACACGCGGTTAACAGAGGGACAAAAATTTGCTGTTTTCGCCGACATTTTCGGTGCAAAATTCATTGAGAAATTCGAAAAAAAAACTATATGGGCCCCACCGTGCAAACATTAAAAAAAAAAAACAGGCCAAAAGAAAACGGGGGAAAAAAAAAAAAGCATCAACTCCGCTCAAATCTGCATAAGCTGTGGGCTCTAGGTCGTCACTTTCGGTCAAAGGCCCGAAACAGGGATCAAAATCAGCATTCAGAGGCCCTTAAGTCTAAGAAAAGCCTGGGCAAAGGCCTGCGCAAAGGCCGAATGCCAAATCCAAGAAAAGCCTGGGCGTGGGCAAAGGCCGCCGAAGGCCAAGTCCAAGAAAAGCCTGGGCCTGCGCAAACGCCGAAGCCCAAGTCCACGAAAAGCCTGGGCAAAGGCCTAAGGCCATGCCCTAAGTCTACGAAAAGCCTGGGCAAAGGCCTAAGGCCATGCCCTAAGTCTACGAAAAGCCTGGGCAAAGGCCTAAGGCCAAGCGGTACCCAGGGGAGGGCCAAAATAAAAAATCAGCATTCAGAGGTCCTACCCCTATTAGGCACAGTTGACTTTGAGAAATGTTGACTTTCTCAAAGTCAACTGTTCCTAATAGGGGTAGGACCTCTGGGCCAACTGTTCCTATCACCAACACGACGGGAATCCAGGCTCAGAAGTCGAAGTCGACCCGCTGGTCAGCCATGGCCGCAGATCAGAGGCACATCATTGGCTGTCTGCAGGTATCCAGAAGAATCTGGTCCAAGTGGGACTCGTGGGAAATCCGCAACTGTGCAGCATCCAGGCCATTGGCTTCCGATTGATCTGGGCGGTCGACGCCAGGAGACCAGAGGGGACCAGCTTCTGGGTAGACGCGAGTCAAGACTATATGTTGACGCGGCCCCTGCTTGGAGATGATTCTGCCTTGCGCTGGCTGGAGACTAGCTCGACATTGCAAGGCTGCGGCGAGATTAGGCTGGCGCGATGTTTGCTCTTCGGGCGCCAGCTTCAGAGGGTAGATCCTGCTTGAGCGGCCATCGCCGCCACAGATTCAGGCACTGATAGGGGAGTGGAGGGGGAGGAGGTTCTGGACTGTGAGATTGTTGTGCGTGCCGACGGGGAAGCTTACCTGGACTTACCTGCGTCGTCATTCGTGAAATGCTGCCTGCACGTCTCCAAGTGCATGAAGAAGATCTGCGCCATCCTCCTTAATTGCTGCTGACGTGGGTGGAAGATGGGCGCCCTGCGGTGACCTGCTCATTGTATATGTCAGAGATCATCAGAGGAGAACTGTATTGCTGACTTGGCGAGAGGGAGACGCCCGAGGAGGAAGTGGGCTCGAGGAGGGAACTACTGCTCTATTGATTCACGAGGGAACTCTCCTCCTCCTCCTCCTCCTCCTCCTCCTCCTCCTCATCCTCTCTGTCTTCTCTCCCCCTCTTCACTCTCTTCTCTGGGATACCGGATACTGGGAGATTGCACACATACTTCCGGCATGGACTCATAAACGATTTTTGGAGACAATACTGCTGCGCTGAGTCAGACTTGTGTCACAACATTTCTGAGCTTCTCATCTGCCTATCTGCGTTTATTGCAAAAACACAAAAACACTATAAAACCCTAACGCAAAAACACTCTCCGAGTAAAAATGAAGCGTTCATCGAATCCAACGACATGCAAACTTTTTCATTAATGATCCAAACATGTAAAAACTGGGCACATGAAGTAACCCTAAAGCACCTACATATCACACAAAAGAAAAACAAGAAAGAAAGCAAAAAATCAGGGCAATATGACAGTTTCAGTGCAAAATTCCGCAAAAACAAACACACACCCCTGGTTAACCACGTGTGTGGAAAGGAGCCACACCATAATAAGAGACTACCTTCATGATTCGACCAAGTTCCAGAAACTTTATAAAACAATTGTAATTGATTATTTGAATTCGTAAAAATGCTATACCTCTTGGTGAAGGGTACACACACATGAGTGTCAGATCCTGATGATACAGTCCAATGGACGCAATAATGTCAGGGCCGGTCATACTATATCCCTTTTACAGAAGAAGGGACGAAAATGAAAGTCTAAAAAAACACAAAGCGGACACCAAAAGTATGGCTGCTGCTGCGGCTATGTCTGCATGCGACGAATTTCTGGAGTCGGCCGCTCATGACGCGGCGCATTTCGTTTTTGTGAAGCATATGCAAGCCAAGTGCAGAACCAGGGGTCCAAATCAAGTACCCATTAAAAGTGGTACTGGATTTAGACAGACCCCTTGTAGCTGTCTTTATAGTGGTACTTGATTACGACCCCTGGTGGCTGTATTAATAATGGTACCCAATGCCCATTTATAGTGGTACAGTGGTACTTGATTCAGGCCCCTGGTGGCTGTACCACTATACTGCACAGAGCTGCAGATAACGCAGCCTCAAACCACTGCATTACACATTTTCAAAAAAAAAAAAGGAAAAAAAAAACAACGCCACAAAGACAACGGAGCCGTAGCGTCTTTCCCCCCGAATACAACAGGGAAGGAGTGTGGTTTCCACGATAGTTTGTACGTTGTGAAAAGGTGCCCGAAGTTGGATATGAAAGGGTGTGGGTTCGACTTCACTTACCCTTTCACGCATCCTTGTGCATGTTCGGTACAGGACCAAACACACAAAGAAAACAGAGCCGCAGAACGCGCGGCCATTATAGCTGTATTGGGGGCAGCTTTCAGTCTATAGATATAGTGATAACGGAAATCCATTTTATCGAGGGGGAGATGGATAGTTGGAGAGGCAACAGGGAAGGAGTGTTGTTTCCACAATAGGTTTGTAGTACTTTGTACGCAAGACAATTGCTATGCGCAGGGCTGCTGTCCAGTCCCGGGAAGTGAAGCATGCTGGGAATCTCCTAGTCCCAGGACAACAGTTGGAACCTTACAGAACCCCAAGAGCTGGCCACGAGAAAAGAAAAGAAGAAGAAAAAAAATCCTCAAATGAAGTTTGCTGAGTTGGAGCCAGGTTTGTTTATACGGATCCGTCCTCAAACGGGCCTAAGCCCTCCTCCGTGCACGCACGAATTCGAACCGACGACTTCGACCTCATGAGCCAAGTCTCTTAACCACTACAGCCAGGACACAGTGTTCAAAAGTGGAACCATAGCGGTAGTCATACCACCCCACCCCTGCAAGGCTGTAGCATCCAAACTCAACACACACCACACACCTCACTCAACTCTACACGGACAACACCCACGCGTCAGCAATTCGCGCACACTTGAGCTCCAACCGAGCACGAAGCACTCCTAAAAAAAAAATGAACATCCATCCGTTCACGGTCCTTAGCCTGCTCACTGTACCAGGCTCTTTTAGCTACCCAGCAGTTCACGGGAGCCTTCCGCGGTTTGTTTATACGGATCCGTCCTCAAACGGGCCTAAGCCCTCCTCCGTGTACACACGGATTCGAACCGCCGACTTCCACCTCACAAGCCAAGTCTCTTTTTTTTTTTTTTTTTTTTTTTTTTAATCAAATTGTACAGATCATTAAGAACATTTGAGAACATTTGAGATCATCTGAGATACTGGGGCCATTACCTGGCTTCGGCTGAGATCACTCTGTGAATATCTAATGACCTATTAAAGAACTACTCATGCAGTAGGCTGCCACAGAGGTCCTACGAATGCTCACAACCCTCAGGATTCCTAACAACCCCTTCTAAGACTTTCCAACACAGTCTTACTCCCTGCTGAGCTCTTCCAGGCCTCACGCCCCCACCCTGCTGGGTTACAGGGCAACACAACTCGCCCCAGCTCCGACCAGCGTCGTCCCAGCAGCAAACCTTGGCTGTCCCTTGGGATGCCCACCCCAAAGCATCCCCAGATCTCTCTAGCAGGCCTCACGCTCCTGCATCAGCAGGTTACAGGGCAACACCCCAGCACCGGCCCTCGTCGTTCTGGCATCGAACAGCCGCAGATCACTGAGTATAACCACTTCAAAACCGCCTAGGATGGGTTGCTAAGAGTCCCTGGAGTCCTAAGACATTCATAAGAACCACCGACAAATCAGATAGGTGAAACCTATTCAATCCACCTACGACCACCACCAGCATGAATGTTTTCAGCACGAACCGAAGCTCTTCCAGGCCTCATGCGACCAGCATCATCCCAGCAGCAAACCTTGGCTGTCCCTTGGGATGCCCACCCCAAAGCATCCCCAGATCTCTCTACCAGGCCTCACGCTCCTGCATCAGCAGGTTACAGGGCAACACACCAGCACCGGCTCGCGTCGTTCTAGCATCAAACAGCCGCAGATCACTGAGTATAACCACTTCAAAACCGCCTAGGATGGGTTGGTAAGAGTCCCTGGAGTCCTAAGACATTCATAAAAACCACCAACAAATCAGATAGGTGAAACCTATTCAATCCACCTAGGACCACCACCAGCATGACTGTTTTCAGCGCGAACCGAAGCTCTTCCAGGCCTCATGCTCCCATCAGGTTAAGTTACAGAGTTGCACCACCTTGCTCCAGCACCGGCCAGCCTTGCTCCAGTTACGACACCCGATGACCACTGAGACTGCCCCCGCACACAGCCCCCCAGAGCTCTCTACCAGGCCTCACGCCCCCACTAAGCTAGGTCACAGAGTTGCGCCACCTGGCTACGGCTCCGGCCAGCGTTGCTCCAGCATCGGTCTTCGAGGGCCACCGAATTTTCAACCACCCTTCGC